TCTATATTCCATTCCATTCTACTCTGTATTCTATTCTACTCTAATTCTCTTCTCTTCTGTAGTCTATTCTACTCTACTCTATTTAATTCTCTTCTCTTCTATTATATATTCTATATTCCATTCCATTCTACTCTGTATTCCACTCTACTCTACTCTACTCTACTCTACTCTACTCTACTCTACTCTACTCTACTCTAATTCTCTTCTATTCTAATTCTCTTCTCTTCTGTAGTCCATTCTACTCTACTCTATTTAATTCTCTTCTCTTCTCTTATACTCTAATTCTCTTCTCTTCTAATTCTCTTCTCTTCTAATTCTCTTCTCTTCTATATTCTGTTCTACTCTACTCTATTTAATTCTCTTCTCTTCTATATTCCATTCCATTCAACTCTGTTTTCTATTCTATTCCTATTCCTATTCTATTAAAAAGAGACAAGGGATGGGGAAGATTCTGAAGGATCACTTCCTATCCAAAGATCCCGATTAAAAAAAAACCCCTTCCATTTGGGTTATGAACAAGACCTGATCTCTTATTTTTTCTAGGCCGGCTAATCAACTCCATCCGAGTGATCTGCTCCAGCTACGAAGACTTCCAAGAGTGGTTATACTGTCTTAAAACCGCTCAGTTCCGCCATGCAGATTCTTCCCTCTCTGGATCAGAGAGTTTCTCTGGGTTGAAGCCTTCTCACCTGGCACAGGTAAGGTGCTGTTATCTGCCTGGTTTATAACACAATCCCGGATTATGTGTTTGAGGAGAATGGCTCTTTGTTTCCTTGCTTAAAAGCTCTTCCTAATAACTCTGCCCAATAGACGCGGATAAGCCAATTCCTCTTAACCCAGAGAGAACTAAGGACACACAATGACATCATTCATTCAGCATCACAAATACACCGTCTTTGGGCTTATTGTGTGGGTCGGACAGTGAAAACACTTCAAAGCTCAATTTAGGTCAATTCCCAACAGCAGAAGGAGAATTATTTTGGCCTACCACTGTGGTGGCCCATACACTTGGCTAATAAAGAATTATATTCTAATCATAAACAATTCTATTCTAAAGAAGGGTTATCAATCAAGGACCACTGTAATCTCTTCATAAACTAACCCCCCTAACCAGTGGTGAAATTCAAATTTTTTTACTACTGTTTCTGTGGGTGTGGTTTGGTGTGCGTGGTGTGGCTTGCTGTGGCAGGGGAAGGATACTGCAAAATCTCCTTTCCCTTCATACTCCAGGGGAAGGATACTGCAAAATCTCCATTCCCTTCATACTCCAGGGGAAGGATACTGCAAAATCT